CTGGCTGATATCCCTTTCTCTGCACCGAAAATTTTCGTCTTTTGTATAATTGTGAGACCTCTCTACCGATACATGTTTTGTGAAATGACCACTTATGCAGCCGACGTCCTGTGCAGCTGTATTTCATGGCTGGGCTCGTCAGCAACGCTGGTGCTTTCTTCACCTTTTATCTACTAGTATTCTCCACCTTCATCGCTCTTAGTTCATTCTTCAGATTCCTGGGCGCCATATCTTTCAACTTTGACACGGCCGCACGTATGGCCAGTATTCTTGTTATGACGATGGTCATTTACAGTGGTTACATGATACCTCAACCTGCGATGCGACGATGGCTCGTTTGGGTCAGTCTGTTTGATTGCGAGTCTTTCTGTATTCAGCTTGTTGCTAACATTCCTTTATGAAATGATAGCTTTACTACATTAATCCTGTTAACTATTCCTTCTGTAAGCATTCATCCATCCTTGAGCTGGGAATTTCCTCCTGACATTCTACCTGCTATCGTAGCGGCACTCATGGGCAATGAGTTCGGTCGGCTCGATTTGTGAGTATAATCGTTGATTCAAATTCAAGACTTCAGCACACTAAATTCGCCTCTTGCTTTTCCTTCAGAACTTGTGATGGAGCGTCCATCGTGCCGAATGGCCCATCTTACCCTTCCACCCTCGGACCAAATCAAATCTGTACACTCCGAGGCTCTCGCCCCGGGAACCCAATCGTCATCGGAGAAGATTATATTTCAGCTTCGTATACCTACTCGAAGGATAACGTATGGCGGAATTTCGGAATCGAAGTGTGCCATTGATCACGTTTACTCGCTCTTCATCTCGCCCCGCTTCTATTATCGATTGACCTGAGTTTGTTTTGATCTCAATAGGTTGCCTACTTTGTATTATTCACGATTTGTCTTTTTACAGCCGTAGAAACCTTGTCACTCGGTGCCGGTATGCCAGCCATCAATGTGGTAAGCCACAAGTATCTGCAAATATTGAACCTCATTCCTGAATTCATAAAAATCTTTTCTCCCAATCAGTTTGCCAAAGAGAACGCGGAGAGGAAGCGGCTCAACGAATCTCTGCAAAGTCGAAAACAAGATTTCAGAAGTGGGAAAGCAGAACAAGACCTTAGTGGATTAATCCAGACACGGAAGCCCTTGACATGGGAAGCTCTTACCTACGATGTCCAAGTACCAGGTGGTCAGAAGCGCCTTTTGAACGAGATATATGGCTACGTGAAGCCGGGAACGTTGACTGCATTGATGGGCTCCTCGGGTTCGTCCTTTCTTCCGCAGTTTGGGTGCTCTAGGTCTCTGCTGATGCCTCCCCTTCCGGTACTACAGGCGCGGGAAAGACCACACTTCTAGACGTGTTGGCCAATCGCAAGACTACTGTACGCTTCATGTCTTCTGGCGCTGTTGTCATGATTGACCTAAACCCGCTTATCTCCAACAGGGTGTGATCGGAGGCGAGGTGTGCATCGCTGGGCGCGCTCCAGGAGCCGACTTCCAAAGAGGCACAGCTTATTGCGAGCAACAGGACGTTCATGAATGGACCGCCACCGTTCGCGAAGCATTCCGATTCTCAGCTTATCTTCGACAGCCTCCTCACGTCTCGATCGACGAAAAAGACGCTTACGTTGAAGAGGTCATTCAATTGTTAGAATTGGAGGATCTCGCTGATGGTGTGTTTCGTTACTGATTGACACCGTGAGACGATTACTCAAGTACTGTTATCTCCCGCAGCCATGATTGGCTTTCCTGGTTTTGGTCTCGGGGTCGAAGCGAGGAAACGGGTGACAATTGGTGTCGAGCTAGCTGCCAAACCGCAGCTCCTTCTCTTTTTGGATGGTGAGCGTTGATTTCTATTTATACCACGATCATACTCTTCTCACACGGGACTGCTACTAGAACCTACATCTGGGCTGGACGGTCAAAGTGCATACAATATCGTGCGCTTCTTGAAAAAACTAGCCGGCGCAGGTCAAGCAATCTTGTACGTGCTTTCAGTTCCTCTTTACCTCACCGCTATTGAAACTCTTCTCCCCCTGTAGGTGTACTATCCATCAACCGAACGCTTTACTTTTCGAAAATTTTGATCGACTGTTACTATTGAAGGGTGGGGGAAGATGTGTGTACTTTGGCGGCATTGGCAAGGACTCTCACATTCTGCGCTCTTATTTCGAAAAGAATGGCGCTCAATGTCCCGAATCAGCCAATCCTGCCGAATTCATGCTTGAGGCCATTGGTGCTGGAAACTCCCGTCAGATGGGGGGAAAGAAAGACTGGGCAGACCGCTGGCTGGATAGTGAAGAACACGCTGAAAATAAGCGCGAGATCGAACGGCTTAAACGGGTATCCATCTCCGACCCCGATGGAGGCTCTACTGAAATCGCTACATCTTGTATGTCGAGCTCGATGTATTCCCCTTTCACCGTACCGCGCTTCGATCGGCTGACCCCTTGTAACCTTTCCCAGACGCTCAACCCTTCGGATTCCAGCTCAAGGTTGTCCTCCAGCGGGCCAATCTTGCCTTCTATCGCAATGCGGACTACCAGTGGACCAGATTGTTCAATCACATCTCGATTGGACTTATCGCTGGATTGACATTTTTGAGCTTGGGTGATAACATATCTGCATTACAATACAGAATCTTTTCAATATTTGTGGCTGGGGTCTTACCTGCCTTGGTAAGCCCACTCAATTGATGTCTATCGTATTCACTGCAATTGACCTTGATATACTCACGTCCGAATGAACAGATCATATCCCAAGTCGAACCGGCTTTCATAATGGCTCGTATGATCTTTCTGCGGGAATCATCGTCGAGGACTTACATGCAAGAAGTTTTCGCAGTCAGCCAGTTCTTGGCGGAAATGCCGTATTCGATACTCTGTGCCGTAGCCTACTATCTTTTATGGTATTTCCTGACCGGTTTCAACACGGACAGTAACAGAGCAGGCTATGCTTTTTTGAGTTGAGTCTCGGTTCCTTCTCAATCAATGTCGTCAGAGCTGATTCCCTCGTTACTGACTTTATGTATCCTTTTGGTATCAATAGTGATTATACTCGTGGAAATCTTCGCCGTGACTCTCGGTCAAGCGATTGCGGCGCTGTCTCCGAGTATCTTCATCGCATCTCAAATGAACTCTCCCGTAATGTAAGTCAAGATCCCTCGTCCGAATCTTGACTGATTGACTGAAGCATCAACTTGTCACCCCTACTTCTCTGTTCGACATCCAGTGTTTTTCTTTCTCTGTTTTGCGGAGTCACTGGTAAGTTTTGCACTTCTCCATGTGAAACTTAGCCGCGTATTGACATAGCCATGTCTTCTGTAGTCCCACAGCCCGTCATGCCGAAATTCTGGAGACAATGTTAGTCAATGTGCCAGCTTTTCAGCCAACGTCTGTTCCTTAATCCTGTTATTGTTTCTGCTTTACAGGGATGTACAATCTGGATCCTTATACAAGGATGATTGCCGGATTGGTGGTAAACGAATTACATGACTTACGTATCACCTGTGTCCCCGAAGAATTGTGAGTAGCTTGCTCTTCAGTGCTATGCTCGGTGTGTTGACGTTTGAAGTGAACCAATCCAGCTCGCGCATCCAACCTCCTAGTGGACAAACGTGTCAACAATGGCTATCTCCGTTTGTCACTTCATCAGGAGGTTACTTGGAGAATCCAAATGCTACGTCGGATTGTGATTACTGTCAATACCGGGTTGGTGATGAATGTAAGCGATTACAGGAGATTGTCCTTCTACCGTGAAGTCAAAACTGAATCTTTCTACCGTCAATTTACCATGCAGTTTTCACTTCCTTAAATTACTCTTACTCCAATCGATGGAGGGATTTAGGGATCATGGTTTGCTACTGTGCATTCAACATTTTCGTCACATTGATCGCAGCCAAATTCTTGACGCTGAAATACGCCAAGAGATGATCCATAGTCTAGCTTCAGTTTCACAACCTCGAAAATCGGTGACCGAACCAATTTTGTCGTTTGTGTAAAATTGTCTAGAGCAAATTTGCATGACATTTAAGTGGTCTTGATACTTTCAGGCGACGTTATCAAGCTGGCAATTTTCTCTCTCTATTAATATAACCTTTATCTCGTTGTAACAAGTTAAACATATATATCTCTTTCATAATCGTTTTAAGTATATCTTGGTTTGTGTTGTTGGGTATTACTGTTTTTCATTAATCATACTTGACAAATGTCGATGAAACTATGATTGTAGAGCTATGATATAAAAATTATTGGTTCTAAGTCTTTTGATTGGTCGGCTGAGACAAGGTGACTATTACATCCCAAATTTCCACGGGTGCCCAGAAGCCAACTACCATATCACATGATACACCCTCAGATCTTCTGTTGTTCATTTGAGAATGAACTGCATCTTGCAATTTTTTTTGCTTCATTGAATGTTAAGATTCCCCTGGTTATGAATCCCTTGCTGGCAATAAATAGCACATGACTATGTATGATATGAGAAGACCATTGCCATACCTGAAGAGGAGGAAGTGTGACACCCAAAGCCTGTTCCTTGATTAAGATGTGTGACTTTGAGGCGTGACCAAGTTTCTGTGATAAGCTTAACTAAGTGTTCCAATTAAAATCATATATTTGCATTTCTCTATTTTTATCATTTTCTCTGACTCTTGTATACAATATGTAGGTGCTTAGGACCCCGGCAAGCCCCCTGAGAACCCGGGTATGAATGTAGAATAAAATGAGGCCAAAATTTGCCTGAACATATGTATGAAACAAGAATAAGTTCCAAATTTTGGCTGAAAAAACCAAGTAACATGGATATCTGGGAGAATAAACCTAAGTCTTCCAGAATTGAAAAAAATCAATGTACAGTCAGTTGCAAAAAGTTTGGAAAAATCACAACCAAAACCCAGCAAGGTGGTCCGTGCAATTCGGGCAAGCAGGCGGAATCTGGCAGAGACCTGTAAGCCATGTGGTGCCAAACCCCTCCAGCCCCATAGTGACCGGGTTCCATGGAATTCCAATTCCAGTCCAAGGATACAGGCCTGAACGGAAAAAATTTTCCTCACACGTTTACACCCAACCAACCAATCCCATCCACATCCAATCCTCGCCTTCCATTCCATTTCAGCACTCTGGATTCTTCCCCGTCAATTCCCTGTAAAATCAATGGGGTATCAATTCTACTGGGAGAGCATCAAGCTCTTGGCCACCCAGATGGCCATCGACTGCGTCACATGATCAATGTCACACTACGAACCAAGATATCAGCCGTCTCCCTCTGGCGCTGGAAATCCCTCTACACCGCAACCAACAGTGTGATCCACAACCCTAAAGGTTACCAGACCCATGGCCGACCCCATGTGTTATCCAAAGAGCATCCCGCTGTCCTCTACAAAATTGTCACCGGCAACCCCTTGATCAACCTTGATGAGATTCAACAGATCCTTCTACGACTTTCAGACATTCCAATTTCTAAAGCCACAATCAGTCAGGAGTTACACCACCGCTTAGGGCTGTTGCATCTTGTCGCTTGCGGGGTTCATTCGGCGCAGTTGATTGAAGACCGCACCGCTTACATGCTGAAAGTTGGGAACATTCCACCAGAGTATTTTGTATTCATTGGTTCGTCTGTCTCTCTCTATCTTTCCAGAGAGAGACTTGGCCATTAACAAAGCCTCTCCTCAATTAGATGAGTCTGGCATCAGGGGTCGTGATACACTTTTTTTCAAGAGTTGGGCTCCCAAGGGCGGTTGCAGTGTCTGACAGCAGTGCGACAACAATACCAAGCATTGGACTATCCTTCCTGCCGTGTGCAAGCAAGGAATGATAGCAGGCGTGGTCCACAAAGGCCCGGTCAAACGAGTCCATGTGGAACTTTTCCTGGAAAGGGAGTTGGTATGTGCCATGTGTGCTTCAAGTTGACAGGATGTGACTGACTCTAATCTGATTGTCTCAACTCCTCTAGGTTCCTGTCATGAACCGTTACCCTGCAGTCAACTTGGTTCTGGTCCTCGACAACGCTCAAATTCACCACGGAGGGATGATCGAGCAGCTTTGCCAAGATGCTGGGGTTCTTTTAGTATACTTAGCAGCTTACTTCCCGGACATGAATCCCATCAAAAACTGCTTCCACAGCATGAAGTCTCAAATGAGGAGGGATAACATCTGGTTTCACGTTGAGGACTTGAGTGACTATATTTTGTTGGTGGCTGCTCAAGTGATGACCCGCAAGCTGTTACAACCCTTAATTTCTTTCTGTGGATACGCTACCGCGGACTATTGGATGGCATACAACGGTACAATTGATGAATAGGTATTCAAAATTTCTCACTTTGTTTGAAGCCTCTCTTGTGTGTTAGTGTTGCAGTGCAGAAGTGGCAAACTGGCCTAACCCTATCCCCATGCTTAGTAATTAACGTATTTGAACAAATACCCAATTTATCTGAATGACAACACTTTGAGTTTGTGAGTTACAGTGAGAGTGAGTGAGTTTGTTTAGTTGAAGTGCCGAATCCAGTGAGATTTCTTTCACCTGTCCTGTTGGATCTTGGTGATGTGAGCTTTGAGCTCGTCTCCCAAACAAGCGGGCCAGACGTCAAGATCATGTTGGCCTAAGTCCGCCAAACATGAAGCAAGAGAAATGAGGCAGACATCTTGAGATTTCAAAACGTCTGGGTGATTCAATGGTTCACAACACCTTCCACTACAAGAAATATAATATTTTCTGGGCAGAAAATTAAATTATTGATACACAAAAATATTGAGAGGCCAGGCAAAGGGCAAAAAATAAATAAAAATATGCATCTTGTTCCCTGCGTTGAGAACTTCACTCTCCATATTTTTCCGTATTTTTACAGTCCATATTGATAAGTGTACTAACAATAAACCTTCATTATCATCCAATTACAACCTGTAACAAGCACTGAAATTTGGCTCATTAGTGTTTAGAGCTTTTGATTTCTGAGAAAACTCATAACTTTTTCAATTCCGGGCCAAAACGCTCGATTTTGAGTGCATTGGCAAGCTGGAATGGTCCTCCAAATAGTTCATAATAAGACCACACAGCATGCTGGTCTGCTAAAAAAGATATCATCTTTTTTATACATTTGCACATACAGATCCATAGAATTTTTGTCATACTAGCTACATAGTTATTGATATTATGAAAGTTTGAGAACGGGAGTTCAGCTTTCTAATGCACCTGAAATCAAGTGTTTTGAGGCAGATTTGACAAAGTTATGGGTGTTTTCAGAATTCAAAAGTTTCTCTAAACACTAATCAGCCAAATTTCAGTGCTTGTTACAGGTTGTAATTGGATGATTATCAAGGTTTATTGTTAGTACACTTATCAATATGGACTGTAAAAATACGGAGAAATATGGAGAGTGAAGCTCTCAATGCAGGGAACAAGATGCATATTTTTATTCATTTTTTGCCCTTCTCCTGGCCTCTCAATATTTTTGTATATCAATAATTTAATTTTCTGCCCAGAAAATATTATATTTCTTGTAGTGTTCTGTGGCTCATGTGACACTCATGATGCTATTGAGCACGGCAAAGCCATTCACTTGCTCACACTGGGATGGAAACTTGGTCTTCATCAAACTTTTGATTTCATCACATTGGTCATGCGGTTCATGGCGCATAACATGTTTCGTTCGCTGTTCACAACCACAACTGTAACTAAGGTTAGGACACACTGAAATGAAAATACACAAGCTAGCTAACACACAAGATAACCAACGACTATGATATTGATGACATAACACGCAAGGGTAAAGACACCAAACTAATTATCATCACTGTCAATAGCGGGGCAATCTGCCCCCCCTTTACCCTTGGCCACTTGTCGCTCTTTGTTCTCAACAGCGCCAAGATAGAAACATTGTGGTTGGGTGAATAGCTCCATTGTGCTAGCCCAAGATATTCCCCAGGCTTGGACATCACAAACATTCATGACTTCAGGAAATAAGGAATAGTGGAAGCTGGTCACGCCGTACGCCATGAGGATGGTGGCCCCCTCTTTGGACGCCTTCTCGCTGAAGTCGCAGTAGGCCAAATAATCATCTAGAGTATTGCGGAACCGGACCCGTTGGAGCGTAGTGAAGTTTCATGGGTAAATCTCAAGCAGATCAAGAAAGAACCAGATGACGGACAACAAGAAAAGGAAAGAAGGCTCACTGGCTTAGTAGCAAGTCCCTCGCTAAATAAAGGTGAGATCCATACCATTATCCAATCGAGTTCATTCCCTTTGCCCCTCCTGTCCCCTGTTTTCCCTTAATTACATATCCCGTGAACACATGATACATATTGTAAACAATGAGAGCTGCTGGGATCCTGTTTCTTTTCATGTCTGCCTGGCCCAAGCACAAACATCGACTCAGAGTCTATCCAGTAACAACGTGATCCGTTAAACAAAAATTGTTCACCTGACCGTCCCAAAAAAGAAGGAGTCAGAGGTCCCATAAAGGCTAGTCTAAATATGACAAACATACACAGTTATCCCCACTGCATACCAGTGGGAAGGCCCACACATAACACTACACAAAATGTAATCTTTACCGGGCGGTAAAGAAAACTACTGACATAGAAAAGTCCGGAGGCAACAGGAAGAGAGCTAAAAATCTGGAAAAAAATGCACCTTGTTCCTAGATGTTGGGGCGTCATGATGAGTATTTTTTTGTATTTTACACACGGATATTGGTTAATGTACTAACAATAAAGGCTGAGAATCATCAAAAACCCACCTGTAACAATACCTGAAATTTGGCTCTTGATTTTGAAGACAGGATTTTGGAATCTTCAAACATCAATAACTTTTGCAGTTCTGAATCAAATCACTCAATTTGAAGTGCATTAAAAAGGTGAGCCTTTCCTCTACATTTTTCATTCAGACATCACATCTGTAGCTGGTCTAAAAAAGATAATACAGAGATATTCATGCAGAACTTTTTGAACATATGTAGAGTGTTTAAATGGCTAGATAGCACCTTAATAACATTATGAAGTGTGAAGGAGGATAGTTCAGCTTTTGAATGAACCAAAAATCGAGTTATTTGGAGCAGAATTGCAAAAGTTATTGAAGTTTTTAGACCACAAAATATTGTCTTCATACTCATGACCCAAATTTCAGGTATTGTTACATGTGAGTTTTTGATGATTTTCAGCGTTTATTGTTAGTACATAAACCAATATCTGCATGTAAAATACAAAAAAATACTCATCATGACGCCCCAACATCTAGGAACAAGGTGCATATTTTTTCAGATTTTTAGCTCTCTTCCTGTTGCCTCAGGACTTTTCTATGTCATTAGTTTTCTTCACCGCCCGGTAAAGATTACATTTGGTGTAGTGTAAGTCCCCATAACGGACTTGGGCACGTTTCAAACTCTCTCTTTTCCCACCGTCCAATCCGTCCTATGATCGCACATGATGAGAGTTGCTTCAGCGGATCACGATAACTTACGAATGATTCCACATTGGTTACAGGGAAACAGAGAGAAGTTGGACCCACCGCGGGCCCATCTTCAGGACCATCAAGCGCCCAAGCGGCTGCCCTTCTTGAGATTCGAGCGGCACTCAATAATAAAGAGTTTGACAAGCACGCCGAACTAATGATGTCATACCTCTTGCGGTACCAACCAGAAAAACTACGCGTCCTAGCAATTGAAACAGAAAAACCACCAAGCAACCATCCACCAAGACCCAAGATACAGCCAACAACCAGACAGCCAAACCACCCAAACATACAGCCTGACAATCCAATCCCAAATCCCCCACCCAAAGTAAAGCCCGCCAGAGCCGCCAAACGCAAAATACCGAGAGGTAGACCGATGTCAGAAGACAAAGATGACAATGTCAATAATTCAAGGGGTAGAGGCTTTGTGGAGAACGGGATCGAGTTCACGGATGGAGAAGTCCCAAGTCATCATATGGCTCAACTGACGGTGTTCTGGGACAACAGAATCAGAAAAGTAAAAGGCTACGTACCAGTATCTATGTTCAACCAAGCCTGGCTAGAAGCAAATAGAGAGGTTGAAGGAAAGAAGTCTAAGAAAAAGAAGAAAGACGATGACTCAGACTCGGAAGACAAAACCTACGAAGGATTGTCCTACCCCTCTGAACTACGCCTAAGTTATGGTGACTGGGTAACTTGTTTCAATCTGATGCTTGACTACTTGAGGAGGTGGTTCAATTTCCATTGGCTAGCAGACAAATTCAAAGGTCATAAGAAAAATGTCGAAGAGATCAAGAGCAAAGATGACAACAACTGGATGATCGCACTTCGATATGATATCCTTGTAAGACGCCAAATCTGGACGATCAGAGTAGAAGGGGGGAAAGTAGGGGACCCGTCAGTGCGCCAAAAGAAGCTAGAAGAACAAGCCAGAAGGACTGTCAACAAGTGCAGAGAGTGGGACTGCCATGACAATCCTTATGCCAAAGGAGGGAAGCGTCAAGACCAAGTACCGAGACTTTCAAAAACGGCATAAAAAAATAAAGGTGAATCCTAGGGTCTAGATGGAGCCCTGAGAGAGGCCCAAGGGGCCCCCCAAACACTCACCCCCTCCTAGACTAACCCTAAGCCTAGCAGGACGGCAAGTGTAGGGATTTGGATATAGAGATCCAACGCTGCAGTCCCACCCCAGGTAGAGCTGGAAGCTCCGAACGCACATACTCAAAAGAGGAGTAGATAAATTGGATTTTGGAAACCAATTGGAAGGAGAATCAGTGGGATTAAACATTGTAATAAACTACATAGATCTGGTGGGCAAGGTTGGAATTTGATTTATTATTGTCTTTTGGTGTATAGGAGTTGTATCTAATTTGATTATTTCATCTTTGTAACAAGTTTCTTTGATTGTTGTATGTGCTGGTATCACAAGCTATGATTAATTCAGATTCAAAGAAAAAAGATCGATGAATGAAAAACCTTCTTTCAAACGATAAGCTTGACAAAGTGGATAATCAAATGCAGAACAACTCAGGATACATGGTTGACATCCATGTACAATTTATGAAATCATATGTCAGATTGATCAAGAAAATTACTTTTAAAATGGATTATTGAAATTGAAAGTATTAACAAAAATAATGGGCAAATGACAAAAAAGGCAATTCAATCATCACCTGAGGTAAGTAACACAGGTTTATCCAAAAACTTCATTCCACAGACTTGGTTGATTGTCAGTGGGAACTCCACTACATTCATCTTTGTAGCCCAAGAAACCACTCCCACATTGTTTTTATGATGTGTACTGCTTTTGTGTTGTCATAAACAATGATCTTTGTTTGTGTATCACTTCATTACTACACCTATAATCATAAACAAGATCAAGCAATTTATGTATGCACAACTGTTTTAACAAAGAAACTGTCTGGTGTGGTCATTCTAGAACTACTTATAAAGTATCTAAAAGTCTGAAATGAAATAATAGTTGAGGTAATCTGATATTGAAACTGTTAGGAGGTTAGGGGTTAGGGGTTAGGCTTAGGGGGTTAGGGGTTAGGCTTAGGGGGTTAGGGGTTAGGCTTAGGGGGTTATGAGAAGTTCATCAAGAACTAGCTATTTGAAGTCGTGCTTTGCCGTATGACAAAAAGGACCTGGGGTAATCAGGTCAAGCGTGAGCACTACGGCACAAGCCAAAAGAAAGCTTTGAAAAGCTAAAAGCTACACACCTGTGCGTAAAGCAACAGGGAAACGTGAATAAAGACGTAGTCGGTAAAAGTTGAGTAAAAATAAAATAATAATTTCTTTCCAATCATTGAACATAGATACTAACCTGGGGTAATCAGGTCAAGCGTGAGCACTACGGCACAAGCCAAAAGAAAGCTTCGAAAAGCTAAAAGCTACACACCTAACCACACACAGTCAGGTTAGTAAAAAGAAATGAAAGAGATAAATAGAAGAAACAGTAGGACAAACCTGTGCGTAAAGCAACAGGGAAACATGAATAAAGACGTAGTCGGTAAAAGGTGAGTAAAAATAAAATAATAATTTCTTTCCGATGAGGAAAGAAATATTGTACAATCGCTAGGTAATATTTAAAGGACAACAATGTTTTCTCAGCCACGGACATACTAGAAAGATTTGCAGGACACAAAATGTCCTATTCCCAAAAAGAAAACGCAAAACCCTTATTACACATAACCTTCCACCTCATAACATCTCAATTTGTAAACTTGTTTCCGTGCTTCTTCATTTATCTTGATCTTGTTAGTAAGAGTTAATGATGTAGTTAACAGTTGTTATTACTACTGAAGTTCTTGACAGATCTAGACCAATAAAAGAGAAACCCGCACCCTACACACAAACTACAATTAAAAACACAGACCCGTGGACTAGATACCACAACAGGTTAGGCTTTGGGCAAGGATATTATCATGTTGCTCCAAGGGTATGTGGCATCACCTCTGTTCAAAATCACCACCGTCCCTCACAATCCTTGATTACACCACATTTTGAACTCACAAGCAGCAGTAACCAGACCTCACCTGCTCCCATTCCTTTGCTTGCTTGCTTCCAGAAGCAACAATCTAGAAGCCATCCCTCAGATTTGCTTGATTTATCTTTAGCCATCTTGGCCATGTGATATATTTGGGGTGACATTCTGTTACCCATGATATATAAAGTGATTTCCATTAGGTTATGAAATAGATTCTGCTGTGTTGTCATCCAACCAATTGACCATACAAAAGATTTCCTACTTGGGTGATGTTTGAGTCAGTATAGCCTCCAACATCATTTTTGATGGGATTTAAGCTGGACCCTTTTTGTGAGTGCGGCGCCTGCCGCCCAATTTGGCTAGTAGCTTGGATTGGAAAATTGGAGTATCTTCTGATACATATAGGTTCCCTTGGACTCAACACCTGAAGCAACCCGCCGCAAAAAGCGGCTGCGGGGCGGGTTGCCCCGTCGCCGCTTTGAAATTTCTGGGGTAGCAGGTCAAAGCAACCCACCACCGCTTTTCCTTTGGGGTTGTCCATGCAGCGGATCGCGGAATTAGCGCAGCGGGACAAAGTCGCGCCCCGCAGCCCACCTAACAGAGCGGTATGCAGCGGTCACGTGACAGCCATATATCATATCACAATCAACATCTCAAGATCACTCGTCTTCAAGCCAGACACCACCATGATCTCACTTCAGAGCCATGAAACATCATGAACTCTTAATATATCAAAAGTGTCAATGAGGATCCTGTCTCTCAAGTGAGATTTCACTTTATTGCTCTCATTCATACACAGTACCTTAGCCTCTTCATCCAGTTGTTGTTTTTGGGCTTCGATTAGAATATATTGGTGATAGTATGTAGGAAAATAAAGCAAGGTACATATTTGAGTCGCACCTCAAGGGAGAAACTTCAAGTACACAAACAATCGAATAGATACACCCGATTTTGCAGGCCGTGAACAAAGACCCTGAACCCCATATGGTTCAAAAGCTTTGATCTATGTAGGATCCAGGACTTTCTCTTTAAGACCACCATTTCTTGTGAAAACATCATGTTTAAACTTAGATACTTTCAACAAAGCATCCACATCAGCTAGTTCTGGAGCATCATTCCAATAATCTTTACTATAATTTGAATCTAGCACAATCGTTCTAATGTTTCTCATCATTGCTGACTCTAACCAATAGATGCTTGCCATGATTTGATCTGGACAAGATTGAGTTACAATCACTCTTAATTGTGGAAAGTCTAAATTTGTAACATCTTTACTAACTTGTTCACTGAATGAAATTGGAGATAAACCTTCTAGTGTTTCCTTAATCGGTCCAAAAACTTCCCCTAGACCTTCTGGCTTAAAAAAATCGATGGTTTTTAACGCCTTTTTGGTAGCTTGCGTAAAATGAGTCTTTGCTTCTAAATTACTTTCATCATGTGTAAGATAAGTGTTGTAATATATTTGATAAGGCCAGAGATTCTTACTTCATAGGTTCTGATGTGTCATAGTAAAATGATAAACATTTGAGTTGTGGTAATGTTGAGAGTGATATTGATATTGAGTCTGGATTGTAAGTTCCAAATTCTGATTTTCCATTATGTTGAGATGAAATTCTAATGATGATAATTTTTTGGTTATTTTAAAAGCCTCAATTAATTGAGAAGAAGCTCCTTCCTAAGTAAATTCATAAAAGTAAGGTTTAGAGTATTTAGATTGTTACAGACGTATTCAATCAATTTTGACAATTGATTCACTGTGCCAAACATTTAGATACACCTATGAAGGAGGAAAAGTTAAAGAAATTTCAGTTGAAACTGCAGAAATACTTTTTGAGAGAATTATGACAAAAAAGGAATTGATTGACTCTCTTGAATGACTTACCTTCTTTTTCTGAATACCATAGTGCTTTGATAGTATGTTTTTTAACATCACAACAAGAATGAAGTCAAATGAAGTCATCATTCCAATTGTATGATCAATCTTGCACGTCTGGGATTATCTATAGCAATCGTTTCAAAATAAGATGTTATAACGGCTGTTGACCAGGTTTTTGAAATTGATCTCAAGTTAATCAGTTCAGTAGACGACGATTCTCTGGCAAGGTTCGGTAGCGGTTGAACAGGGTTGAACTTGAATCATCGAGTTGAACTTTTTTTGGTCAGTTCTTGACAAATTCTCGTAAGACTTGAGTGATGACGTTTAATGGTAATCCATTGAATTCATCATTGTATGGCTTTGAATTGAGTTGATTTGTATTTGAGAAATGAATTGCTTCTTGAGCAACTACACTTTTAAGCATTTTGATGAAAATCAATCATTTACATCACTGCAGACATTATTCGGGTTCCCCAAGTGGGCAGGGAAAAATGATTGGGAGTATGATTTGTCATAAAATGGTCTATCACTCCACACCTGAGCCATAACACCCACACTACATATGTGTAGCAGGCTCAGTGAATATGTGGTTATCATGTACATACAGTTCTGCTCAGTTATCTGCTCATCAGGACAAGTTATTCATATGTAATACATGCTGTAACTTCTTTCAGATTGAAAAAAGCTTCCAAAAGATTGACTACATACACTGACTCAATGTTTTGGTGTGATCTCATCAACTCAACTGCATGTAACACACTTTCTGTTACTAAGACATAGCTTCAACAATATTGCCTGAGCAGCTACAGAATTATATGTAGTGAATTTTTGGGAAAAAAATTTCAAAGTCGAAAAAGTTACATGTGGTATAACATGTGATTTATTTATTCTGATGGGCAAAAAACTGAGCAGACCTGTATGTACATGATAGACAACTATTGACTTAGCTTGCTGCACATATGTAGTGTGGGTGAAATGGCCCAGGTGTGCAGTATTAGATTCTTTTATGAAAAACTGTACTATTAATCATTTTCCTCTGCCAAATTGGGGAAGTTGAATGATGTTTACAGTGACATCCCATTTAGTCTGTGTTTGATTTTTTTTCTTTGATCAAATTTGTACATATCTTACCTTGTCTTGTTAATCTTAAAAACATTTGTGAATAAACATGTTGCCTTGACCCGCTGCCTCCGCTTGAAATTTGTCAAAGCGGATCGAAAGCGGCTCCAACAGCCGCTGTGCTACACAAGCCTTGTAGCGGGCTTGTCTTGAGAGCGGATCAATAGCGGCTCAGCTATGTAGCGGATAAACGCCCCTCTACAAAAAAACCGCCAAAAAGTGGATCGAAGCGGATCGCTTCAGGTGTTGTTG